GGTTAATCTCAGTAAGTAGTTGAAGGAAAATGCCGTCAGTATACATACTTAAATTTGGATATTCAAGAGAGAAGTTTCAAGAGTATGTGCCAGGGAAGCAGGCACCAGGCAGCAGCTTCTTTATACAAAGTACGAAAGCTAGTCCTCAAGTGCTTAAATGTGCAGCATATAATATACTCGGTCATTCATTTAAATGTGTGATTAAGTTCCATAAGACAATCTTTATACGGCGAAATGAGGGATCGATCGAGAGAGAGAGAGCAATATGCTACACAGACTTGGTGGGTGTTTAATGTCAAAAGGTTGATATGTAAAGATCCAGATAACACGTTAAACACAGGTACATAACAAGGTGAAAAAGACACGTTTACATGTAAGTATTATTTGGTTATCCACATCCCTTTATGTATCATGAACCACAAATTTTATCATTGAATGTTGCTGCTTTGAAGGTCTAAGTTTTTCAGAAAGGATGCAGCTTTTCCATGACATTACTTAAGAAATCCAAAATGTTCTAATAAATCCACATCAGCATCCAAGAGCTGTACAACAAGAGAAGCAGGGAAGCAGAAGGCAAGAGGAAAACAGCAGGGCAAGGAATCACGTTTTCTTGCCATTTTTCTCTTCTTTTTTCTGTCTTCTCCAAAGACAAAATAACCAATCTACTTTAATTGGGTGGCAGCCTGATAGGAAATTCCACACTCGTGTCTCCTAATCGTGTCAGGTTGACATGGCACATGGGTGGTTCAGGCAAAGCAACTCCATGTGTGTCTGGTGTGTGTATGTTTGTGTGAGAGAGAGAGAATTTTTTATAGAAATTTTTGGTGGGCGGAATAAGTTTGTTAAATTTTGCTTCTTCAATTGTTTAACACGATATTTCTGGAATTTGTTAACTCCTTCCGAATGGTCAAAACCAAGTTGCTAAAGAAGAATTTTTACACTCTTCGTAGTCTTACTGAGAACAATCAATTGCGAGCGGAAAGACAAATGTTAAATCACCAAGCCAAAGATCACATAATGCTATATAATGGAGGACAAACATTGACAAGAAAACATGTATTTAAGAAGGAAAGAAGAATAAGAGGGGAGAATTCGCTTTGAAGAAACTATTCCCTAGATATACATGTCGTGTTATTTCACAATTGAATCAATTTAAAATTTTAAAAAGGTCAAAAAATCGAATCTACAAGAAAATCTTCTAACACATATGCTAAAATTCTTAGATGGGTCAAAAACAAAAGTGAGAATTTGATGAATAGATAGAAAAGGAGAAGCTTTCCACACCTGTAGCTTGCCAAGGTGCCATGCTCCAGAAACACTAACAACTTCAAGTACTTTGTCATGCATTGACTGGTCGTTGAAGTCATCATCATGCTCGAAATCATTTTGCCACAGATCAACTCCACCCATATAGCTACCAATATTCAGCACAATCAAGCCCTCAGTATCCTGATCGAATTATAAATAAGGGGATTGATTAGGA